TCTTAAATATTCCCACATAGATAAATATAACCTATCAGAGGAACAGGAAGTCTTCTGTGAGATTGTATCTTCTAGAAAGCCACACCCATGAAGTCTCAACCTCATGGCTGCCTAAACAAGATGTGAACAAGGATGCTACTAATAGATATGCTAACATGCAAAGGGAAATCTCACAGGGCCTCAACCATAGACAAGGGATGACAGGAAAGCTGAGATCAGGAGAAATAATGTTCCCAGGGGAGAGGTCCCCTCCCCCATTGGTTATCTACTACAGAATGCATACAAGTCACATTATACAACTCTTTTCTTCACTTCAATGTGTTTCAAGCACACTGATAGGCCCAGTAAAGTGCCATTGTAGGAAAGTGACAATAATAGTGATGCTGATTTGGACTTACTGATCTTCTACATAGCTGCCCGTCTCAGCATCTTTCGTCAAGTTTGAGTAAATTAGTTATTTTATATCACCTATGCTTGAAGACACTAATGCAGTAATTTCTATAGCAGAAGTTTTTACAGTTTTACGTTTGAAATGACTAATACTGGTTATCTTAGCCATGAAAATGTTCTCACTGTCTATTTAACGTGCTTTCTATTTTAAAACATGAACTTAGACAGAAGCCATTGACTTACAATCTTGACATCTCCTGAAGATAACTTGTCCAGATGACTGGCTCTGACAGTTCATTCTCTGGGTCAACTTTGGCAATTAGGAAGAAACAATAAAATTTCATGCATATAGAGAAAGTGGTATTGTTGGTTAAAAATATTATGGCAGTTCAAGCTTCAAGCAATCTTGTTTTTTTTTTTTTTTGTTTTTGTTTTTGTTTTTTTTTGTTTTTTGTTTTGTTTTTCCTAAATTTACTTCTTTAAAGGAGATAGAAATCTTGAAAATTTTACACAAACCAAAAAATCAGTGGATTTCAGGATTTTGCTCCAAGTAGTTGTATTTCTCTTCTTGCTCTGTGGCTGAGCCTTGCCCAGGACTTCTTTTTTTTTTTTTCAAATATAACTTTTTAATTTAAATTTGAAACAAGCTTCTTTTACACATCAATCCCAGTTCTTGCATCCTCCTGTCCTCCCCTGTTCCCCTCATCAACCCCATCCCATCCCCTTTCTTCTCCCCAGGGAGGGTGAGGCCTTCCATAGGGATCTTCAAAGTCTGTCATATCATTTGGAGCAGGGCCCTAGGCCCTCTCCCATGTGTCTAGGCTGAGGGAGTGTCCCTCTATGTGGAATGGGCTCCCAAAGTCTTTAGTAAGGAAATGTCTAATGAGCAGAATTCCTAGAATAAAAGTAGATAAATTGATATCCTGTAGCTAATAATCTATGAAAAGATATCAGTACCTTCAATTTGTTAGGAAGATGTGATCTCCTTACTGTGTCTTTTAGTTGTGGGATGGGGACATAGTTCAATGGAGAGTGCTCGTCTTTCGGATACATGAGCTTCTAAGTTCAGTCCCTTGCACTGTGTAATCCAGGTGGGCTGACAAGTCCGAGATCGGAAGTGCAAAGTCACCCTTGGGTTCTCATAAGCAAGTCTGAGGCTAGGTTGAGTCACATGGAACCTTGTCTCAAAAAACAAAAACAAACAAACAAACAAAAAAACCAAAGGAAAAAAAGCAATTAAAAAAAAGTTAAGCTTAAACATAAATATTTGCAAAATGTAATAACAGGTAACAGAAATGTGCCTGAGTGGATGGGATCACCAGTAGGTTACCAAGTTCTTTCAGTGTATCTCAACATATTCTTCTGTGTGTCTTTCCATTGAACATCTTTGGAGATAAGAGGTAAAAGGGTATTCCCCTTGAATAAAGCCCAGTCCGTTTCAGCTACAATAACAACTACCAGAAAAATGGGTAGCTTGTAAATGGCAGGGAGTTATTTCTCACTGTGCTGGGCCTAGGAAGTTCAAGATGAGGGTGGATGCAGGTTGGGTGTCTGGTAAAGGCCCATGTCTTTATTAGTACACACCTTCTCCGTGGAACTTTCTCACCACAACTTCCCATTGTGGAAGGGCAAGGCCTGTTGACTGAGGGCACTAATCCCATTCAGGAGGTGCAGAGTCATGAGGCTGCCACCTCCCAAAGGGCCCTGCCCTCTAAGAACATGACTTGGGAGGTTATGTACAACAAGAACTTCAAGTCTTTAAATAAAGACATTAAAAGAAGATAGAGCATTTGAACCCGGCAGTTTTTGGAAGTTCACAAACATTCAGCAGAAGCTGAGGAGAAGGCTGTTGAGGTCACTGTGTGAGTACCCCAATTGGTTTTGTGTTCTAGCTTTAATCTTACCAAAAGGACAAACCTCGGCTGTGCTAAACAAGCAGTAATCATGTTTGTCCCCTCTCATAAGGGAAGGCTTGAGAGGGATGAAGATATAATTCTACTCAGGGCTGGAGGGATGGAACACAGGGTTGCAGGTCCAAGAACACAGGACATGGGAGCATCTGGAAGTTTATCCTGTACTCTGACTCTCTTGCTTCAGAGTCAGCGACCTGAAGTCTGTGTCCCTTTAGAAAGTCTACATGTGAAACTCAAGAACACTTACTATGCAAACCACTTCTATTTGTAAAAGAGAATGTTTCCATACATGGCACTAGAACTTCCTTTAACTTGAGACCCTGCCTGTCTACCATTAAGTGGGCTCAACTAAATTCCATCTAATTATTTTTACATCTCATAAGACATTTTTTAATCCTTGTAAGAAATTCCCTGAAAGTTCTTCTTTAAGAATCAAAATTCATAACTCATCAAATGATTTGCATGCTCAGTATTTGTCGAAACTGCATGTGCATTTCCTCTTTAATGTTTGATAAAATAGTATTTCCCTCTAGTGACTCAGATTTTTTGAGGGTGAGTGTTCGCTCTCCAGAGTGCTGTTTTTTCCTTGTGGTTGTTTCCGTGTTTGCACACGTACAAGAAGGCTGAGGTGTGAGGAGGAAGGCCAATTTCATTGTGGATATGCTGCTTCCGTGGAATATCTCTGGCCAAAGTTGCCAATGTGGGAGGAGTTGGCTAAGCCACCAGAAGGTGTCTGTCTCTGTTGTTTCCTTCCTCTGCCCCTTACTTCACTGACAGTAATCAGTTTTATTATTCATTCTGCAAACTGAGTAGAAAACGCGCTCGAAATTACTGACACTATATTACAAAAGTGATAAGTCATGTCACCTGGTAAACAGAGTGACCTTGTCAGAGTCACCAGTGACTCAGTGGGTGGGCCAAGAGTTTATGACACTTCCCTCTGTAAAGGACAACTGTGCCCAGGCACCCTGAGATATGTTACTCCTTCTTATTAGCTCCTAAGTTATCTCATTGAAAGGTTGTAGTCTACGGAAAAACATTATTCTCAAAAAAAAAAAAAAAAAAAAAAAAAAAAAAATACCACTGCCAAGATGGTGGTGAATAGCTATAAATGGTTTCTTGATACACTATGTCAGAATTATGTCTCACTTATTCTTTTATGCATTGCCGTAACAGATATGCAGAGATACCGTAATTATAGAAGCATTCAGTCAAAGGGGAAACTACAGGAATTAATTTACAGTTGCATTTGTAGTTAAGCTGGATCCTCAGTTGGTGATTGAGGAAAAAACAGTACGGACAGAGAAGGGAGGTGGCTTTTTAAACTACTTGCAACGTACGATTCAGAAATTAGGGCTCATGGGGTCACAACTGAGGAGATAATGTAAAGCGGACCGGGGCTGCTGGCGTATATAACTCAACAGGAAAGTATGTGCTTAGCTCACACAAGGCCCTGAGTTCGTCTTCCGCCATCAGTCCTCAAAGCCAAGGGGATGGCTCTATTATCTGTGATTAAGTTGTCGTGAGAGATCTCTGTGTGAACAAACAGCAAAAACAGAAAAGCAACTTTTGTTTGCCAGACTAAATCTTCATAAGCCGATGCTTTGTCACTTTGAATCCTGCTGAACAGCATTCTGAGGGATATTAAATGGAAGCTTTTTTGTCTTTTTCTCCTTCTTCTTATTCCTAGCATACTGAAATGTATATAGAAATCTCTGGAATGAGGAAGGAGTGACATTCCATAGGACACCCTTCCACACACCATATCAGTGCCCACTGAAAAGGAGGGACCAGTGAATTAGATATTTATTTCCTCTTCCTTTTTTTGTTTTCCTGTTGGACCTTATTACAGAAGAAAGAATTGTTTGTTTGGGAAGAGGAAAAAAACAAAAACAAAACACCTCACTGCTTTGTGGCAGTGATGAATGATTAATTACCCACGTTCACATTAATGGGAAAACACTGTGGTATTAAGTTACTACATGTTCTGACATTGTGTCGATGAAGAAAAAGAACGAATCCATACCCATTGAAATGTAGAAGCAGAACCGTACCTAGTGTGGGAGTCAAAGATGGGTTTCTTGTGCTTTGGTGTATAGAGACATAGATATCTTTGCAGTATGTGTCATATTATCTGAAATGCACTCAGATTCCAGGGTACTTTGGAGGAGTTCTGCTCCATTTAATTTTCACCCAGTCATTCTGCTCTGGTAGCAAAGCAGTCAGTCAAGGGCATGAATGAATGACCAGTAAGAAATAGTCAATTATTTGGATGAGTTCTTTGGCACCCTTTACATGTGAAAGAATATGGGTGGAAGGCTGTCATTCAAAACAAGGACCCAGATGAGAAAACAAAAAAAATCCCATTGAGAATTGTTGTAGGAAAAGTATTCTTAGGGCCAAGTGGAGGGAATTCTGAGGAGAGTCTCTTAATGCGTGTAGAAACTGAACCAGATTGTGTCTTTCTTTAATGCATGTAAAACCACTTTTAAAGGCATGGGCTCTGGATGTTGATGTCTGACCCTTCCACCCTTCTGTGTAGAGAAGTTCTTTGTTTTGTGGTGTTTGTCTTCTGATGGGCCGTTGCCTCAGGTCAGCAAATCTGGGACCCAGAATTTTTGAGACTATTTCAACGAGCTCTAAAAATCACATTGACATGTTTGTAATTGCATGTGTTATTTGTTTATTTACTTTCAGTTTGATTAATAAGCTCAAACCTGGCATCATAAGGAAGATCAATAGACTGTCTACACCAATAGCAGGTTTGGTAAGTAACAGATTACCTTCAAAACTAGTTTTCTTCTTCAGTTTTGTTTTATTTTTAACAACAAACAATGAGTCTATGTATTCTTGTGTGCCCTGTTATGTCATGTTGGTATTGTCACATAGTATGTGTTGTATATTTCAAGAACACTTAGAAGTATGGGGGGAGGGGGACTTTGAATGTTCCTACTTTGAAGCTATATTTCTGACTTTGAAATATAAGTGGTCATAGTAGGTTCTCTCACCTACAATAACTGTCCCTTTCAAGAGTGACAATCTCCTTTTATGAGCCTTTCAACACTTCCGCTCTGTCCAGAGGTTTTTGCTTTAACTTGTTTGATTTTGTTTTGATTATGCTTCAGAGTCTGGGTATTTCTTTTCTGGCCATCGCTCTTCCCCAAGTGGCATGTGAGATGTTCCTGTCCCTCCTGCAGCTCTGCCATGAATGTGCTGTTTTCTCTTGGACCACAGCAGCTCTCCAGAATATCAGGTGTTCCCTGGTTGGTGTGTGTGTGTTACTTCAGGCTCGTGAATTACGTCCACTTAGCACACAGATCATAAGTATATCTGCAGAATAGTAATCAAGGCCTAGTAGCCCTCTTATGGCGTGTCATGTTTCCTGTTGATGTACTGTGTCTCTGTTGTCTTCTGTTTCAGGGTCCCAGCATTTGTAAAGAAACACTAGTGATTCTCAGATGCCTCTGCCTTTATTACTGCTATTTTTTGTGGCGCTGGAAATAGAACCTAGGACTTTATGTCTTCTAGGCAAACACTATTGACTGAGCTACATTCACAGCCTTCCTGCCTTCAAATTAAAGATTTTTAAGTATTAAGAAATACTGCATGCTCCCATCATGTGGTTTTTAAGACACCGTGGACACTATGATAGCATGAATGATTGCAGAAGATTTAATAAGCCTTGTCAATCAATACTGGTGGGGTGAAGAGATAGATGGTCCAGACATTAAGGGTACAGAGTCTCTTAAGGGCTAAGGGTCCTCAGTTCAGCTCCCAGTGTCCATGTCAGGTGGTTCACAGTCATCTGTAACTCCAGCTCTAAGGGATCTGACACCCTCATCTGGACTTGGAGGGCACTTGGACTCATGCACACATATACCTGCCACGTATTTAAATTACAAGTCATAAAAATAAATCTTTAAAAAAAAATCTATCTTGGTGACAGAAGCCAGTTAAAAAGATCTCAGAAAGCGCTGCATAATTTAATCATTGGAATGTAAAACCCAACTGCTTCTCTATGGGTTACTCACTGCTCTTCTAATAATCTATTTAAAAGACTTCTTTCTGGCCTTTCATTTGCCACAGCTGTGACTTGGGTAACCACAGATAGCTCCTGGGTTTGTGGGAGGCATCAAAAGCTCATCAAAACCGGACAGGGCTGAGTTGGCCAAGGATTTATTCCTGGAAAATACCTGTCCAGGAGAGAAGGAATGAAGTGTTGAGGTTTCCTTGAAGTTTAGAATGCAGACAATGTTCTTGGCCACTGGCTGCAGCACTGACTCCTAACCCAGTTGCCTATTCTAGACCTGTCATGAATAGGTAGCTGACATATAATTTGTACTGGTCTTAAATTTGGGTAGGTAAAAAGCCTATTACACAGCACACACATACATACTCATTCTTATTCTTCTAGATATTCAAAGAATAACATTACAGGAATGCATCCCTAAAGTCTTTTTAGTAGGAGACATCCAGTTTAATAAAATAAATAAGCTTTATAGGAAAATGACTTACAAAACAACTTCTACAAAAACAAATGTTTGAATTGTATTGAGTTACACTATCTTTTCCAGTGGCCTGAGTTATTCTTAGATAGTTTAATTTTTGTGTTTTTGATTTTGAACTTTCATTTTTTGGATCAATTACCTGCATTTTAAATGAAATTAGCCTTTGATCTCAAACACTCCCTGAGATTCTGGAATGCTTGAATTGTGATGTTTGTTGCTGTTGGCTGCTGTTAGGTTTATTCAACTTTATGATTGTCTGATTAGATGCAAGCACAAATGTATTTTATTTTTAAGCCCCAAACCCTCTCCAAGTATTTCTATTTCAAGCATCAGAAATTCTCTCCAGTTTGGATTTTATCTTTAGAAGCTAAAATGAAATGCATTTCCGGTATATTAAATAGAATGCTTTTCTAAGCACAGTGCAGTGAGCATTTTCATGGGGTATGGGTGTGTAAGACTGACTTTAGCTCTAGAATGGGCTAAGCCCAATTGGTTTGCAGTGAGCTTCATGCCTCATCTGATTGAGGATACTTGTTACAAAATGTGTGATATGGAGCTCCAGTATCTTCCAGGAAAGGGTTGGTATGAGGATTAGGGGATAAGGGAGAGTTTGATATGCAAATCAATGCATGTGTATTCTTTAACAAATAGTTGAGGGCTTGTTGGATTTAGGACTTTTCTAGCATATGCAGAAATGTAAGAGTACAAAAGGTGTGTGGACTTTGACTTCAATTTCAGGGAGGGAGGAGCAAACAAATCAATTAGCAAATGGGCAAGAAGGTACCACAAAGTTAAATGTGTTGAAGAACCCATTAGACTCACATCCCAAAAGATTGAGTTCTAGTAGTTTCCTAAGGAGTAGGGAAGAAATCTGGGTTTTTGACATTTGTGCAAGAATACTGAATAATCTAGGCCAGACTTTTCTTTTTTAATTTAAATTAAAAACAATCTTATTTTACATACTGATCCCAGTTCTGTCTCCCTCCTGTCCATCCCCCAACCCCCACCTCCCCATTGGCCAGAATTTTCATAGCATTAACATTTATGTTCAGTACACCCAACAGTGCACTGATAAAAAGAATTAAGCAAGGAATGAGCCATGCTCCCACTGCAGAATTGAGTAGGTTCTAGAATTTAGTCCTTGGTGGGCTAGGCCTATAGGTTGAAGACCCTCCACTCCCCTTCCCCAAAGACATATTGAAGTTCTAAGCCTCAGTATGTCAGAGTGTAACCTTGTTTAGGTATATGATTTTTACAGATGTGGTTGGTTCAGATGAGACCATCCTGGGTAGAGTGGACCCCGAATCTAGAATGAGAGTGTCCCTAAAAAGTGATGCTTTGAGAAAGACATGCCTAGAGGTAGAGCACCAGAAGGGGATGAGGTTGAGGTGATACAGCCACAGTTCACAGAACAAAGATCGCTAATGAACTTCCCAAGTCTAGCAAGAGTCCTTGAAAATTTGCATAGATGTCATAGGAAGCATAACTTTACCAACGCACAGGACTCCAGCCTCCAAACTATAAGCCAATGACCACACGCATCTCTATTGGTTTAAACCGTGAGGTGTTCTCATTTTGTTGTGGTAGCCCTAGGGAACTCATGTGCATAGGTGCATGCTTCTAGTTACTGCCTTTTTTTTTTTTTTTTTTAAATCATCACTGTACTTTGAAATAAATGTAGGTTTACAGAAGGTACAAAGAGGCCCTGGGTATTATTCTCCTAATTCTCCTCAGTGAGTCTTCTCACATTCAATGTCTGGACCAGGAAACTGATGTTACAATCCAAAAGCCTTAATCAAATTTTGTCTCATGTGTGTGTGTGTGTGTGATAGAGAGGGATGGAGAGGGAGAGGGAGGGAGCGAGGAACATGGACACACAGTGAGAGAGAGACACACAAGAGACAGACATACAGAGACAGAGATACACATACATACAGATACACACACAGATATACAAGAGATACACACACAGATATACACATACATACACAGAGATGCATACACAGAGATACGAACTTGAGGCAGGAGGACAATGCATTCAGTCAGGGCCTGTTTACACTCCACAGTGAGTGTGAGGCCAGCCTCAGCCATCTGGCTCCATAGCATCTCAAGAAAAAATAAGTTAACTATTAGGGGTAGAATAGGCATGATGGGACACAGAAGCTGAGGAGGCAGATTCCTCATTGGGATGGAGGAAACCCAGGGAATGGTGTAAACATCCCCTTATGCTACTGGACATCTTAGTTTCTCTTCATGATGGCCAGTCCAGAACTGAATCAGGCCTGGGTCATTGCTGACTGCTGTTTTCCAGGTGGGTAGTGAGTAGTAGTTAATGCATGCTTGCTTGTGTGACCTTGTCCACTCTTTCACCGTCACTCTTCTGCACCCTGGGTGTCAGCAGGATGATGTGACTCAGTGGAGTCCTGCTCTGTCTCAGTGTGTTCCTTCCCAGAAGCTGTGGAAGCTTGACCTGGGAACTTGCTGTCAGGTTGACATAACACCGCTGAGCTATTCTGACACGCTGTAAGGCGTTAGTGGACTGACTCTATGTACTACACCCCCCTTCTCCCCCCCTTTCAGGGAAAGTGAAAATTTGTAGGCAGTGGAGGAGCTTTTGTTCTGTTTAAACAAGTAAATCCAAAGTGGGAGACCTCAAGAGAAAATTCTTTAAGGGGAAAAAGCAGCTGGTTGTGTTTCATCTTTTCTCTCCTAGAATGGAATAATTGAAGGAGTACAAATATAATGAGCCCAAGGAAATAATGCTTGTGGCCACGGCCCACTTATCCAAACAACTACCTTCTCGAGGAACTCATTCTTGAGCTTACCACTGACCTGCTTGGGCCTCTTAGGAATTATCTCTGTAGTATAATTAAGAGATTTATTTGTGGACACATTCCTGTGTGTAAGAATAGAAAACACTGGACTAGAGGGAAAACTTACTGTTTCCTAGCACATCTAAGGCCCCTGGGTTCCATGTGTTCCTCTGTAAACCCAACAAACAGTCAAAACAAAACAAAACCAATCAAGCAAACAGAATACTGAAACCATGTAGGAGCCTAAGAAGCCTATTTAGCAAGCTAAAATAGCTAAGTAGACTGTGTGACTTGGACTTCCTGTGAGCCTTCTAACAGTGAGAGTGGGGTTGTCTCTGACTCTGTTACCTGCTTTTGGGACCATTCCTCCTACTGGGTGCCTCATCCAGACTTAATGGAAGAGGAGGTGCATAGTCTCACTGCAACTTGGCATATCCATGAAGGTT